TATATATATATATATATATATATATATATATATATATATATATATATCTGTCTCTCTATCTCTCTCTCTCTCTCTCTCTCTCTCTGTCTCTCTATGTAAAAGCAATGCTGTACATATAAAAAATTTCTCATATTAAAATAATGAAAAGACACCAAAGAGTTTTTGCATTTATTACACATAGTTCACAAAACATAATGTCAACTTTTTTCATTATTTACAATAATATTTACTTTAAATGCATGTATGTCCCCCAACAATATGGTTGTGCTTAACCTAGTTTAACAGGCACGATCTCAGTAATTTATGTCTTCTTCTCATAAGCAAAAACATACCACTTCCTGTTAAATAATATGTGCTTTCCATCAAGGGGAGGGGTGGCAGCAGAGCGTCTGCAAGCTAATCACAGCACTTCAAATCAAAACCACATGTCCACGTTAACATTCTTAACTGCAGCCTAAGAGCTATGAGCATGAACACTCTTCAAACCTGTCACCTAGGGGTCAGTAGTGTGTGACATCATTGGGCTGGTGTTTCCTGTCAGTCAAGTTTGAGAAACCAAATTAGTAGATGAAAGGTTCTCCTTGGTGCTTACTTGCACAAGGTTCTCATCTCGCCTTGCCTTGAATATGCATTGGGAGATGATGTTTCACTGTGGCCCCTGTGGGAAAAAGCAAAGCATTGCTTTGGACAAAGGAATACTGCAAACCTTGGAAACCTTGGGGATTTTAGGGAGACCTTATCTGAAGATTGATAAGATCTGCTAAAAAGGCTGCTTTAAGTGTAGGTTTAAAGGAAGTTTTAAAAAACAAAAGGGGTTATTTTTAAAAATGGACACAAAAATATAGATTTCACTGCACAGAACTAATATACCTCTATTTTTTACAGTGCATTAGAAAACAATTCATTTTTAAATTGTCACTTTAAGTTGACTTTATTTGTTATGTACTGGAATTTCATGCATCACACCAAACCAGAGTAACACATAACTGCTCAGTCGAATGAAAAAGTTACATGATCTTCAATTTTGTCTTTTTTTTTTTTTTTTACAATCTGAACAGTGCACATTTGTATTCACATCCTTTTAACTTTAAATAAAACCTAGTTCAACAAATTTTAAGTGGAATGCTAAATACAAAGTCAGGGACAGGAGGAACTAACAGAAAAGGCTTGGCTTATATTAACAGTGGACAGGCCAGAGAGATACTGGTGACAGAAGGATTGTTTAGAGTTTTTTAGAAGTATCTCAGGATCTGGTCAGAATTGATGTAAAAGTGATTAGAAATACATAAGGAACAGTGGCGGCTGCTGCTCTCTGGTGTCTTTAGTGTCAATTAAAGCCAAGCAACATGTATTGCATTATCAAATGTTGAAAGACATAAAACAGTACTACAACATGTAAAAATAGCTGCTTTGAAACGCTCTAAAATAATAAACTCCTGAAATTATGACAAAAGTTAAGCCTAAGATGATTGATCTGACTAATTGATCACTTTTCTCTCACGACTCATGAGGAAAACCTCCTCACTGTCTGGCCACTGAAAGTCAAAAATCTTTAAAAATGTTGGCCAATCAGCATCGAGCAGCCAGCTTCATGACCCGCCCCTGCTCCATAGACCCCCTAAGAGGTTTAGACTCACTGGAAGTGACGATCTTTGCGTATTATCCAATCAGGGCTGTACTTTCTCCCTGCTTACCTTAATAGACCGAGGCTCAATCCTCAACAGGGATTTGTCATAGAGGCTGACTGCAGCACCCTGCTGCTCCAGAGTGGAGGGGTAATCGCGTTTGAAAGCAGAATAAACAGCTGATTAATGCGCAACATAATCATGAAATCAGGCTGATTTTAGTGCATATTTAATGCAGTTTAATAACTAGATTTATGTTTGACAGTGCATATTTTGACAATGCATATTTTACCAATAATTTTTCGAAATTTACAGGGGAGGTTTAGCTTTCCTATTACCAATGGGAAATCGCCACTGATAAAGAACAATACTGTCATTAATCATGACTGAAGAAAGACTCAAAGTTGGACGAGAGTTTTTGCATACCATTTAGCTGAACAACAGATCTAATAATGCAGTTTCTTACAGTAGTTCAAAGCATAGACATGTGTTAGGGAAGCCTAGTCAAAGTACAGACTTAATCAAACTGGAAATTCTGTTGTAAGACTTGCAGTTTACTCTTCAGATAGGCATTCCATTTAATCTAATCTAGCTTGAGTTATTTTACAAAAAGGAATGATATTCATCTTTTAATTTATAAGGATTATTTTGCAATGTATTGACTAGGCAGGTCTGACCATCTGATAAAGCTACACTTTATATTTTTTTGTGATTAATCAAAATAATTTTAAAACTATGTACTATTTTCCTAAGTATTTACATGTTAGATTTGGTCTAACCGAAAAAATTCCTCAAAATAAAGAAGAAAAAAAAAAGGAGCCTACACTGTACTGTAGTAAGGAATATGTGACTGTTTGGGGGGGATCTGGACCAGATGCAGTGAAATGAAATGAGAAGAGACAGGGCACCAGGGTCTGTTAGCCTTTAGAGCAGGATTTCCCAGGTCTGCTGAATGACAGGGCATGGCCTTGCCTTGACACGGACAGGAAGCATCTGCTTTTCTACAACCTGTTGGATAATGTAATTCCAGCTAAATCCCAGAGTGCAAACTGCTTCTGCAAGTTTGGATGCCCCCTAAACATGTGTAACATTTCTAAACATGTGGTACATTAGTAAAAAATGGCAAAAACCTGAAACAGTAGCAGGTTGAACAATTAGTGATTTGCTAACTGACTTTACAAAGCAGTGTCATCACTTATTAAAGTGCACATTGTCCCAAAGCTAACTTTATTTTATCTTATGATTAGTGCAGATTAATACACAACACTAACAGCTGTGTCAAATCAAATATTCATCAACCTCCAATATTCATCACATGGGCAGTGGCCTGTGTGTGGTCATTAAAAAAAGGAACATCACTAATCTGATTGCATTGTAAAGTTATATTACCTTAATGCAAAAATAAAAGGTGGCCTAATAAACCTTTTAATTGAATGCATTTTAGAAAATTTAATACTCATAATTAGAGGCAGGTTAGGATTGTCCCTTCCAGTTACATAAAGGGATGCAGATCAGTGCAAAAACCAGGGCACATGATGTGATAGATGACTCAGCCTGGTATGGAGGAACGTGAACAGCTTGCACAAATTTCTGAATCCAATTTGACAGAAAAACTTACCCCTAATTTATATAGCATCCACTCTGCAAAGCTGTGAAATGTACAACAAATATGTAACAATCATAATTCTAAGAGCATTTACTGTGACTCAGCATAGTAATGGCAAAAATATGTTACATCGGCAAAAATTTGATTTGATTCTATTGTCGCTGGACTCTGCTTTAAATTCCCAGTAAATATTCAGAAACCGGATGGCTCCTAAAGAACAATGAAGAATCACAGCATCCAGATTTTTCTAGAAAATGTATTAAAGATATATTAACGTAGGTGATCAAAACCTAAATACTAAACATTAAATGCCAAACAAAAGCAACAAATTTAGTTTTTCTGCGCATAGTATACTCACCCATTGCACATCTATCTCCTAAAAATATCTTGATGCCTAGGAACACAAAGTAAAGAACTGTTAACCTTTCTTAAACCCATGGAGTTATTTTGGTCAGACTTCTTTACTCACAGGCTTATAATAAACAGTTTATGAATGCTCCTTGGAGTTTCTGTGAGCTTCATACCGCAGCTAATGTAATGTATAAGGAGAAACAGAGCAGGGTAGATGGAGCAATGGTGTTATGTTGAAACATCCTGTCCAACATCAGTCTCTGACCTCAAATATATTAACCTTGGTTAAGGATCCAACATTCCCATAAACCCAGTCCGAAATCCTGTAGAAAGCCTTCTGAGAACTAAGAGTTATTTAGTAAAGTTTATGTGTAATCTCAATACTTGAAGCAGTATATAGAACTGGGGTTTAATGAGGCCAAGTCCGCCCTGGACTTTTAAGCATCATGAGGCTGATGGAGTAAAATGAGTATGGCAGAAAGCATCCTTCTTATTTGAAAAGACGATGATGATCTATGTCTGCAAAAAGGGATGTAATAATTCTAAAAATGCTGAAATTTATGATAGCGGTGTATATTTGTGTTTTCAGTCGCTAAACTCTATTCCTATGTTAGTTTGCTACCTGTCAGTTTAGTGTCTAGTTAAAGTCAAAGCAGTTTTAATTAAATTAAACATTTGAATAAGAATTTAAGATTATACTGCTAGACTAAATGATTACTAACCTATACTAACCCTTTTTTTTGCTATCATCTTTTTTCTAGGTGGTAAAAAAGGGTCTTGGAATAAAAAAAACTAAAAAAAAGACATTGATGAAGCTTGGTAGTAAAGGAAGAATAGAGACATAGGATTTTTTATTGCTAAAAATCAACCACAAAAGCTAAAGCATTTAACATTGGGCTTATGTCCTTAATATTTTCTTTTCTCTTATCGTTTTTCCTTGAAGCACAACTCCAAGATCCACCTCCTGTCCAAGTTTTTCCAAACGTCCTCTTATTAAGCTTCAGATGGCTGACTGCTTTGACTGATTAGATATGCAGCTGTGTGGCATTTAGTAGGAAGAGGATTTGGGACCTCTGGTTCGAGCTTTACGCTAGAACGTTACAGCTGGTCTTGGCCTTTGTGTTTTGAGCTTTCACATAAAAATCAGATTCATTCTGTTCTTTCTTTTGGTTGTTATTCTTTTAAAGGCCTGTGTTCCATGTCATCTTTGTTTGCAATTAATCAAACATGGCGAGAAATGGGACAGTAAGTTTTTTTTTGTTGTTTGTTTGTTTTTTTTATAGAAAAACAAGACATATTCCTAGTGCTACTAAAATATTTTAAACATTTTTGGATATAACTTTAAAATGGCCTAAATAAATGAATAGATTGAAACAACTAAACTGCATTAATTTTGAAGCCATGTTTTCATTGAGGTTAGTTTGTCTGTTTTCAAAATAACAAAAAAGGTCAGTTTTATTAAATTATTTCCAGATGTATGCCTAATGCCAAGATACACAAGATTCTCTGACATCAAGACAGGGATGTTTGGTGGAAAACACACTTCCTTCCTAAGCCAGAGGGTGGCAGCAGTGACTATTGACCACTTTAGCATTAGACTTAATTAACTGAACTTTATTGATCTCACATTTGAGAAATTTTACCTCTGCATTTAACCCATCCGCTTGGGGAGTGGTGGGCTGCCATCGTGGGGCAGTGTGGGGTTAAGGGTCTTTGCACAGAGACCCAGAGTGGCATTCTGTGGGAGTGGGGCTTAAACTCAGAACCTCAGGATTCCAAGCTCTATGCCCTAACCACTTGGCCGCCACTCTCCCAAGTAAGGCGCTTTTTTACTGAAAACAAAAACAAGAAAAGGGAGTCTTGCTTGTTTGTTAGCAGGATGAGTTGACCTATGAATAGATTTGAAGGATTTTTTTTTTCTACTAGAGGTGCATCTTATGCCAAGGAACAATTCATTAAAACTTGGTATTGATCCAGATCATGTGCAAGTTTTAACTACAGGTGTACGTGTAGGGTTAGGGGTGTCTGTCTCTTTGTTGCTGGAGGATTTGTACTTACAGACAGACTCCAGAATAGTCTGTTTAAGTCAGCCAGGCAGGGTTTTTGCTGCGTTTGCATTTCCTGTAATAGTGCGTCAAATACTGCACAGACGGAAACAGGAAGTCATTTCGACATGCAATCAGCTGTATTCAGGATAAGGAGAAAACAATTGCACTTTATAATTCTATCCATGTACTACTCTGCTCTAGATCTAAGACTCTTGACATTCTTCTACCCCATGTCATTGATCCAACCACCATGATGATGGCATGTGTTGTTTGGACTTCGGTCCTTCATCTCCTTCCTGTAAAAACAGAACCATAAAGAAAGAAGACAAGTTTATTCTCTGAAAAATTGCTGATAAAAAAAGGATGGATATTATCCTAAAGTACATTCTGTTCCCAGCTATAATAGCAGACTGCTCTATGTGCTGTTTGCTATGTGCTATGTGCAAACTGGTGTGTCACGGTTCACTTTTAGCATTCCATATGTTGTCCAAAATACTGTGCATAACAGATTTAATCAAATTTAACCCTGGACATACCTACAGGGTTTCCTGTGGTCCAAAGTTGCAAGTTGACTCCTGCTCCAAGAGCCTTTGAAGAACTTGTGTACAATTACCATATGCTTGATATTACCATTCTCTCACATTGAGATAATGCTGCAGTGTGACTGGAATTTGACCTTAGCCTTTTTCAGCAGGCACTCTTGTATAACACTAAAACCAAATTTACTATTACTTTAAAAAAACAAGCACAAAATGCAGATTTTATATTTTAAATTTAAATTATTATTCTACAGCAGCAGCAATGATGCCAACCTTTCCTAAGTATGCATGTTCAAAAAACGGGTTAGAATGTCTGAAAGGTAAAACCCTGATATACTCTGTTTGGGCTTTCTGTTATTTACTGAAGTATGGCTCTCGCTCACTCTCTTGCAGCCTGACTGACTGTTTCAGAAAAGTCTCGTCATATAGAAAACTGTTTATTGTTTTAATTGCTTATTTGGTTTCTGTGCTTCATTTTTTACTTAATGTTAAACATCTGACTGATTGTAAAAAAAAAAAAAGAAAAAAGTAGTTTTCTATTATAGAAAAAGTTCCATACCTCATAGTATTGTTGTATTGCGACCCGGTAGAATTTAGTGTGATGCATTTAATGATTTGAAAAAATATCAGTTTGGGTTGATCAAAGTGAAAATCTTTCAGTTCTATTCAAAGACAGATTTTCTTATCCATCTCTGTTCATTTCAAACTGTCTTTTTGACAGTGACGTTTTGCATAAGGAAAGATGTTTGTCAGCTGAGTTCACCTTTTTTAACTGCTATTTTTACAACATACATTTTAATGCATAAAAACATTATCTGATTTAAATTATAGTTTATTCCTTATTTCATATGGTTACAAACATATTTTTTTAAGATCTCTTCAGGTTTGTTTTAGTACACATTATGTATTTAGCTTTAAAATTAGGAAAACCCCATTTTAAATTGCTTTTCTTTGTGGAACATTCCCTCTAGTAAAAAAAAAAAAAAGGAGAAAAAAAAGCCTGCTTCGCTCAAGTTGTTTTATTTGGCTGGATTCCTATTGTGGCTGAGTCATTCCACTTTAGGGTAATCCACATTATGCTAAGATGAGACTCCTCGGATTATACAGGACTTATCCCACCAAGCCATGCGAAAATAATGGCTGCGACGATGTGGGAGAGCAAATCTGTCTCTGGAGAGTTTAATTTCCCGTGTGAGTTGTTGATTTATGTGTTTTGCTCTCCACTCAGTTTGACAGACGATGACACATGTTCCTAATAATTCCAAACCTCATCAGCGTAACACTTTTTAAAACTGCCAAAGCAGCTATTTGACATAATACCTCATATAAAAATGTAACTAGAGCAGTATTTCTTTAAAGTTTCTGAATTCCATGAGTTATGGTGGGATCCAATACTATTTTAAGATGCATTTTATAGGTCAGATTTATGATTTAACTCAATAGAAGCATCATAGAGTTTTTGTTGGACCTACCTTTAAAGCTTCACAGCTGTGGATCTTTAGAGCAGAGGTCCTAGAGTTCTTGCCCTTGCTGATCTCAGAGATGAAGCTGTCCTCCAATCCAAGAGGCCTGGCCACTCACTGTTTTCCCAGTCAACAGCTCTGATTATCTAATAGCTGACAGAGGAGGTTGGCAGGTTTTCGGGAGGAGCAAGTCTCCATATAGTGTTGCTTTTCTTTGATTCCCTTCTATTCGACTGTAGATACAGTTCAGCTGGGGGAAGCATAGCTTATATGGCTGAAATTTTCTTTCTTCCTCCCTTTTTTCTTCCCTCCTGCTTTCTACTCCAGTAAGGTGGGGCTACCCCCCTCCCTTTCTCACTCCCAGACCATCCTCCCCACCTCCACCATGTTTGCATGTCTCTTCAGCGAGGAAGGTTTGTTATCATTTATGAGTACGTGTGCAGAGAGTATCTGCTGTGCTCAGGGCTAGTCACTCTGCTTTGATGTGCGCCGTCAGCTGAGAGGACCCTGTGTTTAAAATGCCACAGTAATTACAGCATGCAGGATGCGTGTTTGTGCAGCGTTTACCACGGCCCGCAGCGACAAGAAAAGGCAGAAGGCGGCTTTGTTTGAAATGGCACTCCAACATTTATCAGTTTTTAAATGATTAGTAGAGTATCAGTATCAATTTAATACTGTGCGGTCATCATCAAACTATGTGCTTGTTGTTATGCAGTTTTTCTGAGGTCATAATTAGTACACAATGGTACATTATGTTTTTTATCTGGACTGGAAGTTATGTATCTTGTGTATTTTAATCCATCCCTCCCTCTTTGTAGTGGCTTTGTAGAGGGGGGCTCACTCGTCGAAAGGAAATAGGTGCCCTAATTACTACACAGCCACATGGGAACCAAAATCTCTTGAAAAATTTGGGTGAGCCATCTTAGACCTTTTTCTTCAGAGCTGTCATCAGGTTGTCTGGTTTTTATTCATTATATTTTCTCCTCCTCGGGTGCTTATTAATACCAGATGATTCTCACAAAGGTTGTGTATGGATCCTTTCCTCTCTCAGCCTTGGCCTCAGTCATTAACAACAGCTCTCTAAGTAAGTGCTGTGTTTACAGGTTAAATAGCCGGTGGCTTTACCTCAGTGTGAGAGATGCTTGCCAAGAGCTTTTGAAGAAATCTGCTTTCGCCTTTTCTGGTTGATAATACTTAGAGCATTAAACAAATCAAAACACAGCTGTTTCAACAATCTGTTTAAATTCCTTCCTGAAAATGTTGAAAATAGTTTGTTTTATGATCAAAGTTATAAATGAAATTTAAAAAAGATATAAAAAGGACGACCAAAGAAACAATGTGCAAAATGGAAAAAAAAAAAAAAAACCCTGCTCAGCTTAATCCTTAAAACCAGATATTTATACACACCCAACAGTTAAAGCCAGATATTTAAACCCAATCTGTTGAAGATTTCTTTTACCTCTTTTTCTCACGATCCACTTCTAAATCAGAATAAACCTTTTCTGTTCATTTCTGCTTTCTGTAGGACAAATGTAGCCCTGCCTTATGTTTTGATACCCCTGCTTAAGTTTATAATAAATTGATTGATTTGTTTCAGTAATATTATCTCTTAACTTTACTGATCTTTTAGAAAAAATATGAAATTATTTTTTTTTGTTCATAGAAATCATAAAAATCTACCATTTTGTGACATGAAATGTTCTATTTTAAAACAAATTTCTCACACTATTATTTCCGTTCCTAATATTTCCTACAAGAAATTTCACTGAGGATTTCGGGTCATTACTGCATCATGTATTGTTGTATTAAGGATGTATTCAGATTTATGCCTAACATACATGGGAAAGAGGTCTACTGTGACATAAAATAAAACAATTGTCTCAGACCAAAATGGACTAAACAACAAAAAATAAGCTATTTAATTTTGTAGAATATATATTGATATTTAAAAGCACATATTTATATAGTTGATTTTTTTTATAATGACGGCTTTTTCTTGGGCTGCTCAGTGGTGCAGTGTGTAGCACTGCTGCCTTGCAGCAAGAGGGTTCTGGGTTCAATTCCTGGCCCAGGGTCTTTCTGCATGGAGTTTGCATGTTCTACTTGAGCATGTGTGGGTTCTCTCCGGGTACTCCGCTTCCTCCCACAGTCCAAAAACATGACTGTTAGGTTAATTTTCTTCTCTACAGTGCCCTTAGGTGTGAGTTTGTGCGTGAAGGTCCTGTTTTTCTCTGTGTTGCCCTGCGATGGACTGGCGACTCGCCCATTGACTGCTGGAGATATGCACCAGCAAACCTTGCAACACCACTCGGGATAAGCTTGCTAGAAAATGGATGGATGGATGGATGGCTTTTTCTGATTGTCTGAATCTTGATGATACTCTAGCAATTCCCTAAGAGGCACTGGTTGATTGTGTATCATTGTTTAAACAACGACTACAACGTTTACTATGCAGAGAGCTGCAGTAAAAAGCTGATTCCTTAAACTTGCCCTCAAAGCTGATTCAACTTGATCTTTCCACCATAAATTATCAGGCATTATACACACAGTCTATTTCCTACAAGGTATCTTAATAATTGAGGGTGCTGTATATCATATGATCTATCCCACTCTGAATTAGATGCATTCGTTGAGTGACATTGCTGACACCGAGTGTGGCTGAAGGTGGAAGACAACCTTTCCCCTCTGTGTGTGGTTTGATCACTTGAGGTGCAACTGCAAGACAGGTTGAACAGAAATGTGAAAGAGGCTGGGAAATTGTGGCGAAACCCCAGAAGCTCAGAGAATTGTAGCAGACATCGCTCACCCTTTGTCCTACCAGTTTGAGCTTCTGAGGTCAGGGAGGCGCTACAGGGTTCCCCGAACAAAAGGTTCCCTAAAAAGGTCCTTTGTCCTAAAAGCCATCACTTTTTTGTATTAAAAAAATATAGCATCCACTCATATGACTCCAATACCTTAGTTTATTTTACTGTAACGCTTTTTTATCTGTAATTTCTTTTTTTTTTTTTTTGGTTTTTTTTTTTTTTAATTTTTTTTTTTTTTTTTTTGGTTTTTTTTTTTTTTAATTTTTTTTTTTTTTTTTTTGGTTCTTTTTGTTTTTAATTTTGTGTCAGCATTTGTATTTTAGTACTGCCTGTATGGTGAGCTAAAGATAATTTCCACCTTGGTGGACAATAAAGATTTATTCTATTCTATTCTATTGTTATTGAAACAATTTGATAAAAAAGTGTGGCTTCTTATCTTTACAGTGTTCGGTGAGCTGTGGCCGTGGCACCAAACAGCGGGAGATAGCCTGTGTTTTCCAGAACCAAACCCAAATAGAGGAAGCCCACTGCAGTCATCTGCCCCGGCCAAGAACACAAAAGGCCTGCAGAGCTGGAGGATGCCCTGCATGGAAAGCCAACAGGTGGCGGGAGGTATGTTTGGTCTTTCTGCTCTTTTCACTAGCTTTGATAATAAAAACCTACCGATCTGGCAAGCTACATTATTGCAAACTGTGGCCTAGCAGCAGAGATACTGGCACAAGTACAACAGAAGGTCTTCCGGAGGCGAAAGATGTGGAACATGTGCATGCAAAGAGTATCTGTATAATCATAGCTCAGTTTACTTCTGCTCAAGAGTAATGTGTCTTTTTTTCCCCCATGCATGACCCAAACACTGCAGGGCTGATTTGCAAAACTGTTTATACAATGTGTGTGAGGTTTTCATTTCAAGGTTATAAAACTCTGGTAAAGGGTTAAATGTGCTTTTGTAATCAAGCTTAAGGCAGAACATACACTCAACTCTTGCATTGTGTTATACACACAGTCTTAATAAAACAGATTAACAATGGTCTAGGTCCAGTAGATGCAACTAAGTGTGACTTCTGAAATGGGCTGAGACAGGATGTCAGCTATGGCATACAGTGTGATAGGAAAAATGTATAAGCTCTTCAACTTTTTAAACATTTTGTCCCATTATAGTCTGTCAATGAACGTGTCTGTGAAATTCAATTTTTAGACTATATGCAAGAGGATCTTTTCTAGTCCATGAACAGTAAAGGTGATTCCCAGGAAGCTTGTGGGGAAGTTTGCTGAAGATTTTTTATTTATTTTTATTTTTTTTTTATTTATTTATTCCTTTATTTAACCAGGAAAAGTCCCATTGAGATTAACAATCCTGGCCAAGACAGCGGCAAAAGATTACATTACAAATTACATTACAGTTTACAATTACATAATTAGAAATTCATAAAACAGTTACAAACCATAGATCTCATTTCCAAACCTTTGAGCAATCGTTTAAAATGTCCGATTGGAATCAAATCCTTCAACTTCCAGTCTTTCTGAAGATTGTTCCATTCTGTGGGGGCAGAGTACTGAAAAGCTGTCTTTCCAGCTTCAGTGCGGACACTAGATACAGACAGAAGCAAAGACTCTTGAGAACGTAGAGAATACAGTCCAGCCGCTCTTAATTGAATGTATTCACAGATATTTTTTTGTTTCATACGAAGGGAGCACTATTTAGAGCAACACTGTAAAAGTGAGTTGTAAAAGAAACCGAGCTTAAAAAGCCACCCGCATTCTGCATTGTCACTCATTGTCCCTCAAAAACATCATTCTTGTCACAAATTTATTTTTTTTGAAGCTGAAAGAGGGTCACTATTTCAATTAATCTGTTTAATCCTGAGCTCCTACCATGATTCAATTTGACTGCTAACTGAAATGTTTTATTGATTGCATATATTTGATTTTGCCTATTTGTTTAAACCTACTATTTCTCTCCAGACAAACCTGTAAGAGGGGGGTTCTGCCTGGTTCACCTTCCAATTCGATTTTACTTTGTCCAGTGTGTCTTCCTGCCTGTTGGACTTATGAAATTCTCATCAAATTGAGGCTTAGGTCCGGCTATAATAGACAGTGGGTCTTGCAGGGACCATATCAGTTTGACCAGCCCTATCCATTTTAGCTCTTGAAAGCCTGGAAAATGAAGTAATTGAGAGAAAATTCAGTTTTTTTAAATTAGGGTTGTCATTAAACTTTCTGACAAAGGAAAAGAAAGATAATTGTTTTTTCATAAGTTAAATTATATCACTTATTAGCACCATTGCTAATAAATTAGGCATTTCTGTATAACATTTTATACTTTTTCTGTTCACTACATGTGTCTGATTGTCTAAGTCAGGTATATCAAGAACAAAAATATCACACTGATGCAGACATCTCAAAATCTCATGTATCAAATATGATATACTTGGTATTAAAGGGTTAATGAGATGCAAAAAGCAACTGCCACAGTTTTATGCAACCTGATTTTCTATCAGATCGGAAGCTGAATTATGTCCAATGTTTTCAGGCCTATTTTTTTCCTTCTCCCTATCAACTGTGATCTGCTTCTCCTCTGGTTTAAGAGACTTACGGCATGATGCAGCACATGTAGGGTGATGTACAGTCGCCTTCTGCCACATACAGCGAATTATGTTGAGGGCAAGAATTCCAACTTCGTTCTTATTAGGCAGAGAAGTCATGTTTGACATGTTTTCTGTGTCTTCTACATTGTGGAAAATTTTAGAAGGGATTTCTTGTTGCCTTCTTTCAACAAAAGTATTTCTCCTGCTCTCCCATAAAGGACAGATTTGTAGAATAGATAAGTAACAGATGTCCTGTCCCTAGTTGGCCCCATCTAACATGTGGAACATTAAAGATCCTCTGTAGCAACCAGGGATCTCTTAGGACACTTGCCTTACCGTAGTTGGTAGGTTTGCAGTTTTGCCAAACTCTTTTCAAGT